CCCGCCAGGCCCTGCCACGCCCAAAGCTCGTGCCGTGGCGCCCCGCACACTTCCGCTCAGCTGTTGCTCGGAACCTGCTGTGCGTGGCGCGGCATGGCGTGGCGGGGCTGCAGATCCATCCTCAGCCGGGCCGGGCCTGGGGGCGGATCCGGCGGACAGCCGGGCCTGCGGCGCACCCCAGCCGGAGAAATAAGAGGGGAAAAATAAGCGACGCCGCCGCCACCCCACCACGGCGCCTCACCCCGCAGAGCCCCGCCCGGACGGCCTTGCCGGGCGCGAGCACGAACCCCGTCCCGGTCCCGTCCCGGTCCCGTCCCGCATCCCTTCCTCGCGGGCCCAACCAGCCCCTCGGCTGGGGAGCGAGCGAGCCAGAGGGAGGGGTGGGGGAGGGAGGGGGCGAGAGAGGGGAAGAGAGGAGGAGAGGAAGAGAGAGCGAGAGGGCGCGGCTGCCAAGTGCAAGGGCGGCGACCGCTGCGGGCGCCAAAGCCAGGCCGACGAGGGGACCTGGGGCGGGGCGGGTCCGGGCGGGCCTCTCGGGTAGGGGAGCGGAGTGCGGAGCGTCGGAGCGGGCGAGAGAAAGAGGCACGGTAGTACCGCCAGTGTGAGAGAGCGAGAGAGAGAGAGAGGGCCGCTCGCCCTGGCCAGACGGCGTTGAGGCAGGTTCAGGACGCCGCCAAGGGGATGCACGCCCGAGCACCGCGCCGCCCGGCCGAGAGGGGGTCAAGGCCGCCAAGGCCGCCAGCGCATAGGCCAGAAGGCATGCTACGCCCCGGGAACCCTTTTCCTTTAACCAGGACTGCTGCTTCGTCAGACAATCATGCACTCAACAAAATCATTTAAAAGGGCGAATCGCTCGGATCGGCCGCCTGCAGCGTAGGCCACCGGCCCTAGAGGTGCGACACCGGTGTAGCGCAGTGGCCTACCTGCCAGGCGTCCCGCAGCCACCGCATCGTGTCCGCTGCTGCCGTGCCGTACGCCTTTCCTTTACTGTACTTTACCAAAGTTTTATGTCCTTGGCTTTTGCCATTTCGGTTGGCACACAAGGTCGGAAAAGGAGTACATAGGCCCCTATAAGACCGCCCCCTCCTTCCCCTCTCCTGCTCAACATAGCGAGGCCTGGGTCGGCACCACCCGCTCTCAAGAATCCCATTTCGCTTTAAATGAAGCTTTGTTCTGTTTTACCATACTCACATCGCGGAACACAAAGACGTTAATAGCCTTTTCTCTCTCTCTCTCTCTCTCTCTCTCTCTCTCTCTCTCTCTCTCTCTCTCTCTCGCTCTCTCTCTCTCCCTCTCCCCACTCTCCCTCACTTCTTCCTTCCTGTGTGTTTCTCTTTCCAGCAGCCCTAAGCCCTCCCCACCCCAACCCAACCCAGCGCGCTCCGCTCTCTAGTTTAATCTGTCCAAGGCCCTCCCCCCTTTTCTATCGCAGAAATTCGTTGTAGCAATTCCGTTTTCCATTTCATTACATAAACTAAATTAATTTTGAATCACAAAGAAAGCAAAGTAGATTTAATAACATTTGGTGAGAGCGCGGTGGGTGAGGGGTGGCAGGAGGGTTGAGGGGAAGGGGGAGAGGAAACGGAGCAGGAAAATTAAAGGAGAGAATTCAGGCCGGCATGTTGTAACAACTATTCGGTAATAACAGGTCTAATCGACCCTTACTTTGTGAGACGAAAAAGAGCTTTGAATCATCCCCTTTCACACAGCCACCACCACCCTCTCTAAAGTCTCTCCCTCGCCAATTCAATCAAGCTGCATTTCATACCGAAAGGGACCAAAGAGGGAGAAGACGGGTTTTCCGTTGCTCGAGTCAAAAGGGGGAACAGAGAAAGAGAGAAAAGAGGTTGGTGAGGAAGGAGCGAGGGGGCTGGAGGAACGGTAATCTGGTTTCGACCGAGAGAGAATGTAGGAACCACTCAGTTCTGGACGCAGATTGGTCAAGACACATTTGATTCGGTGAGAAATAGAGAGATGTGGTACTCTGTATTTCCTTTCAATAAGGAGCGCGAGTTGATACCTAAATGCGAACAATATACAGAGTACACCTAGACATGACTTTGAATCGCTTCGTGAGGCGTTCAGGTCAGGTCCTTGGCTGGGCCCCTAGGTGGGTGGAGCCGGGCAGATCCGGGTGGAGCACTCAGGCGAAGCAGGCCGGAAAACACAGCGCTTTTGTGGCAGTGTGAAATGTATAGAATGATAATGCCGGCATAGAAATTCAGTGTATATGCATGGCATTGGGCCGGGCAAGACGGAGAAGGAGAATGAAGAGAAAGGGAAGGAAGGAAGATATGGGAGTGGAGAGAGAGAGAGAGAGAGAGAGAGAGAGAGAGAGAGGGGTGAAAGGAAGGGTGGCTTTGGGGCACAGGGTGGCTGGCCTTCGAGGGGTGGTGCGTTGATGGGGAGGGTGCGGAGGATGTGGCAAAGAAGGGAGGGAGAGAGCGAGATGGAGTGAGAGGAGTGAGAGAGAGGACGGATAGAAAGTTGACGGCGCACAAGAGGAAATGAGGGCTTTGAAAAGGGGGAGGAAAGGAAGGGGGAGGGGGAGTCAGCAGAGGGAAAGGTTCTCATGTTTTCCCTTCAGCCTGACAGGCAGATGTGACGGCAACTAATGCCCTCTGTGCGGCCGGTGACGAACTAGGAGACTCTCGAAAATATTTCCACTCGTCGAGCCAAAATAATATTATGCAAGAAGAGAGAGAATAAAAATAAAGACAACAATTATAGTTATTCTTCGCGTAGACATCCCACTATTATTCTTGAGTTCCGACCTTGGCCCTGGTCACACACCCTTGCGAATCCCTCGGCCTCGGCTGGCGATTGGCTGCTTCTGATCAAAAGAAAACAAAAGCTTGTTTGGTGCCGTCCGAAGGTTTATCCAGCTCTCGCCAAAGGCAAAAGCAATTACTGTGAGTACAGAGATTTTTCAATCGAAAGATCGGAGCCGAACGAGTTTCATGGCCTCTGGAGGGAAAACAGAAGAAACAACGCGAAGAATTTAAATGGCTGTAGAAAAGTAGCTACTGACTGCATTGCAGTTGA